CACTTATGTATGTATATACAAATCTAATTTTATCTGTATTCTTATTTTCCTTTACCCATCAGTCAATATCTTTTACATATCTCTCAATCATTCTTGTGTGCTGCTTGAAATTTAGTGTTTAGTAATGTGCAGTAAACGTAATCCCTACAATCATTAGACTGTGCAGAAATAGGTTCGATAATATAGGAGGCAATACTGATGTCTGCAACAAAGACAGTTCACCAACTGGAAATTTACAACTCATGATGATGATGGATTGCAAAAGACAGTGAGGCGAAACAACCGCTATTTGCTGCAACATCTTCTGATAAGGACGCGGATAAAATCGAAACGTGTTTTTGACCATGTGTTGTCTCTTGTTGGAACAGCTGAAGGTAAAAAGTAATTGCGAATGGCAGTTATTTGATATAAAGGTGAAGGATCTATTGGCAATAAAAACAGAACGCAACACATTATGCACGTGAACCAGCTCGAAGCATCTACATGTTTAAAAAAAATGCTTAATAATTCCATAAAAAAACGAAAACAAGCTAAAATAGAAAGTAAAATCTAGGCCAATAAATAACACTTTTTTCAGACTCAGGAAAAAAATATGATGCATGTCTATGTACTCCACACAGAATGAATGAACAATTATCTCATGGGTAGGTTTTTGGGAAAAGGAGGTTGAAGTCACTACTGATGGTGCTTGTTCAGAAGATACATATGCAGTTAGAGAAAATGTAAGATATGTACTACATAACTATACGGTTGAGAAAGAGAACCGACGACAGAGAGAGAGAGAGAGAGAGAGAGAGAGAGAGAGAGAGAGAGAGAGAGAGAGAGAAGAGAGAGAGAGAGAGAGAGAGAGAGAGAGAGAGAGAGAGAGAGAGAGAGAGAGAGAGAGAGAGAGAGAGAGGACAGAGGAGAGAGAGAGAGGAGAGAGAGAGAGAGAGAGAGAGAGAGGAGAGAGAGAGAGAGAGAGAGAGAGAGAGAGAGAGAGAGAGAGAGAGAGAGAGAGAGAGAGAGAGAGAGAGGAGAGAGAGAGAGATAGAGATAGATTGAAAGTGAGAGAGAGAGAGAGAGAGAGAGAGAGAGAGAGAGAGAGAGAGAGAGAGAGAGAGAGAGAGAGAGAGAGAGAGAGAGAGAGAGAGAGAGAGAGAGAGAGATGAGAGAGAGAGAGAGAGAGAGAGAGAGAGAGAGAGAGAGAGAGAGAGAGAGAGAGAGAGAGAGAGAGAGAGAGAGAGAGAGAGAGAGAGAGAGAGAGAGAGAGAGAGAGAGAGAGAGAGAGAGAGAGAGAGAGTGAGAGAGAGAGAGAGAGAGAGAGAGAGAGAGAGAGAGAGAGAATTTTACTATTGACAATGCTTGTTAGCAGAAAATAGGTGAATATGGAATGAGATAAAATGTAT